AGCGCAGACCCCCCCACCAAATTCGAAGCAGGCAGTGAATATGAAATAGAGCACGAGMTGRCCGAATATATAGCGGAGATTCGAATTCAGGTYTGTGCTTCAGCAGTTATGGGTTGCTCACGTAGCTAGGGMCTGTTGGTCTCTGCACGTGACTCTTAGGGTTTGGCTGYACTACTCACCAAATGTGCAAAACTAKAATGAATCTTCTTCAKAACATGGAATAATACGTCGCCAGATGTTTTGTCTTTTCTGCATATGGTGAGTAGAGGCCMTTAGGGGCACTGCACGTATTTCTAAGAAAAGAAAAACGAGATAAAAAGAAAAGCAASAAAAATGATAMATGATAAAAMAGAAAAACAAAAAAAARTTAAAACGAGAAATTTCTCGTTTTTCTCTTCTTAGGAATACGTGCAGTGGCCCTAAAGGCCTCTACTCACCACATGCACAAAAGACAAAACATCTAGCGACGAATTATTCCATSTTCTGAAGAAGATTCATTCTAGTTTTGCACATTTGGTGAGTAGTGMAGCCAARCCCTATGAGTCACGTGCGGAGACCAACAGGCCCTAGCTACGTGAGCAACCCATAACTGCTGAAGCACAGACCTGATTTCGAATCTCCGCTATATATTCGGCCAGCTCGTGCTCTATTTCATATTCAYTGCCTGCCTCGATTTTGGKGGGGGGGKCTGCGCTACATGGCTGCGCGGACCCTTCAGATAGCCTRCATGGGYTGTCTGAGCCACGTTATGGCTGGGTGATGCGGTAGGGGGGGTAGGCCTCTGTTTTTTTTTTTTTTTTTGCAGTTTTGGGRTTCGTAGAACAAGACCGATCACCCCGTAGTCCGTAACGCGCGCGTGTTCCCCCCCGGGTCGCGTTCAGTTTTTTCATGCCACGTGGCGCGTAGTGCGTTTGAACGCGAATGAACGYGGSCCCGGGGGGTATGAACGCGCGTTCAGTGCGTTCACCCGGTTACACAGGTTCTTGTCACTTCTCCCCSACGCTGATGATCTCCTTCTTTTTCTCGRGACCGGKCTAGGARCCCTAATTAGCTGCTCTAAGTTCTAACTCGTCATTTTCGTCTTGATCATCAAAATTGTYGATGATGCTGGATACTGGATCAATTGGTTCTGGTGTGGGCCGTGTAACGGCGTGGTTCCCTCCAGATATCAAGATTCGATCCTACCTGGAAGAGTATGGATTTTTGCGTGTAGATTCTTATTCCGGGTTCCCACTTTTGCGACATAGGGTCGCATGGTATCGTCAAACGATTCCCGTTTGTTGTCATACATCTACGCCAGGTCGGCCCATTCGTTGAAAAACAATGTCTCAGTGATGAGTGACATCTGGTGATTCTTTGCTTTCTCCTAACGATATCCATGAGTCCCGGCTTGACGATGTTGATCAGGGACTGTGTTGGTTTCGAAGCTGGTGGTAGATCAGCGACGAACGGGTTTCTGTGGACTGTTTATTCCCACCATCCACCAGGGAATACTCCTCCATCCTCATTGGACTGTGTATATATGTGTATGGGTGATAAATTATAGAGTAGGGGAGGGGGAGGATGGGGGGGGGGAGGACAAAAAGGGGGGGGGACAATGGGTAAAACACAAGCATCACAGGTTGATCAGAAAAAGGTTCAAAAAGCACATGCATCATATCATCCATCCGGGCAAGATGGTAGCAAAAGTCAGCGTGGTAATTTCGTCCCTCATCCTCCCACAGTTCATGCCTTAAAATGCCATGACGACTTACTAGCTTAGCTTGATTGGGACTAGGCTCAGTCATAGCCCGAGGGTTCGACCTAGTGGCCGGTCAACTCATAGGTTAACCCCTTTGTTGTGTGTGTGTYCATATCCCACATGGTCAAAAAAATGGAAGTAACCCCACAAATTCATCATTCATGTGGTATAATTGTCCTCATCCAGATACCCGCCCGCATCACGACTTCCATTTTTTTGACCATGTGGGAGTGACTTGGTTATTTCTGAACATTTGACCCTGTTCGATTCCACAAACAATACAATAGTTCACATGTGATTAAGTTACCTCCAAATATTATTTGAAAGCTTATTAGGAGAATGTGATGTTGTCCCCCCGGATCCTGGGCCCATTTTACCAATGCAAAATGAGGACTAGGAGGACCGTTATACATAACAATGATAGGGGGAAACATGATGTGGGGAGAGAATCTCTCTCCGTCAGTATACGTAAATCTTTTGCAAGTGATTATTTCTCCCCCATTTGTATCTGTTTCTCCTCATTGAGGCTGTTGATCTCTGCACTGACTACCTTGTTGGCTCGTGTCAGTTGTTCTTCTCTAATTCTAATGGTTTCATGCTGATTTTGCGAAGTCTGGATTGTCATATTGAAATCGTTGGTCAACGTTCTACATCGTGCATGAATTCTACAAACTGATGGGAAGATTTCTGCCCCCCATCGGTGAACTTGCCCAATTGGTCGTAGATCCAAGGCCCAAGGGTTTGTTATCAGCACGTCTTATTAGATAATGGAGAATCGTACTTAGTTGTTGCTCGACCGTTTTCCCTTCCCTCCACAGAACAGCAACGTCTCGTTCCATTTTTTATTGTAGGGCACTTCTCAACCCCTTACCCCATGTATCTCCTTCCCCCTTCATGTTGGAAAATATGCTCAATATAGAGAATCGTGGGGACAAAGTCAGYAGTTTCTCGCAGTATTCTTACTATCGCTAGTCCCTTTTTGGGGTTTACTTCTACCCAATGATACTATGCTAGTGTGAACTACTCTAGATCAGGTGCGTCATAATCTATGTAGTCTGATACATGACACCCCTCGATCCGACCCTTATTTTAGTCTCAGCCTCCCCTACTAATGAAAAATTCTTCTACCACCGATACCATGATATTCTATGATTTACGTCCTGATGCGCTTCAGCGGATCCTGTGTTGGTTTGGTTAAGCATCTATATTGGTCAGAGAGAGAGAGAGAGAGAGAGAGAGAGAGAGAGAGAGAGAGAGAGAGAGAGAGAGAGAGAAAAAAGATAGCGGGGGAAAACGAATACGAAGGGGGAAGGAGAAAAAATAAAAGTAGAAAAGAGAAGAGAAGAAAAAGAAAGCAGAAGAAAGAAACAAAGAGAAATAAAAGAGAGAGAGGGAGAGAAAAAGAAGAAGGTAAGAAGACAAAAGATAGAAGAAAGAGAGACATGAGAGAGGAAAAAATAATTAGAAAGAGCGGAAGGGAGGGGTGTAGCTCAATAGCGGTAAGCAATTACACAAGTATGTTCCCTTTCCTCTATGATTAGTATGCCATTTAGTTTACCAATTGAAATTGCTCCCAATCGTACCCGTGGAATCAGCAACACATTTTAACACAAAAAATTGTCCCACAAGTTCGATCACCCTTGAAAGTTCAATCTCTGAATGGTTATCCCGATCTTTATGTAAATTTTAATCTGATGCAGAAAAATATCATCTACAAAAAAGAAGAAGAAGAAGAAGAAAAAAAAAAAAAAGAAGAGGGGCTAAGCCTATGATTTGTAACCAAGTCCACAAGTGGAGGAGAGGACAATTCATTCGAAAATATTCTTTTGTTCCCTCGATCGCCATCATGTCCCATTGCTCTCCATCGTCCTAAAAACTCGTCCGGATGCCATAGTTCCTGGTCCAATCACCTTCTCCATCCATGTCCGATGGTTGTCTACAGGTTACTCATCCCGACCCACCCTTCTTTCTGCCCCTCTCATGCTACATATGTTTCCCATATTTAAGCCCTTGCTCCTAACTATACAATGTAGTATACACCTATTCCTTAACCATTGGAAAGCCAAAAGGAACTAGAGTACATTTAATATATAGATTTTTATTTTACCGAGTGTCTCAACAATGAATCGTATTTGGACTACAATTGACTGTATATGAGTAATTTAGTCCGTCAAGATGCTGCTCATAGCTGTATTATCGCCAGAAACACAAAAACTCCGCCGTTTCGAGTAATCTACATGTATATGTCCAATGGTCATTCCTATATCAAGTATGTGTGTTCCCTATTCCCTTAATTTAGTTGACTATCCGATTACAATTGGTACTCTGTGACTACACCATACTCTAAGGGCACGGGGGAGGGAGGAGGGTGTTGGGCAACTGCTAATGGGAGAAAGAAGAATGGCGGAGGAAGGGGCCGTGGAATCTATATTAGCATCCGTTCTCCGTTAGCATTCATGCAAGTATTTATAGGATGTAGTAGAGCTCTTGTACTGAGGAAGCTAACACGCAAAAGTAGATTGCACGACTAGAAGGTAGGCAAAAGCTTCATGCAGCGAGGGTGTGGCTGCCCCTAAAATGTCTTTCACCGATACCACTTGTCGGATCATCAAAGGGATATATCACTTCACCAGTGCACCTGCACATTGCATAACATGCCATACACACAAACATTTCCACAAGGTCCAAAGGAGGACAGAGAAAAGAGACTAGGACATTAGGGGGTCATACCACTTCGTCTTCGTTTTGCTCTTTAGCTCTTTAGCTCTTCGTTTTGCTCTTTAGCAAGTTATCCAAGTTAAGAGTCTCCATAGCAATCACACTTCTGAGTGAGCAGCTCCCTCGTACAAGTAATCGCATGCAATTGATAGGAAAGTGAATGGCTTATGTGGGAAGGAGTAACTGTATTTATAATGGGTGTTGATATGGATGAATGCAGTTCCCATGGGTGGAGTCACCACCATTCCGTATGTGCGGGGTCAAGAGAGCAAAAATACGCTTATTCTGAGGCGTTGTTCGATTAGCGTCGATGAGATCACCGCTAAGCAATTTCTCGATCACGTCGAAGTGCGTTTTGGCAGTGTGGTGTTGTTTTTCGAAACTTCTAGTTCTCTCTATTTGTCACCATACGGTATTTCCCACTGATTTCCGTCCTATCCTTCCCGTGCCAACCGATTTTGATGGTTTGGGTTTAGGTGAGGTCCCTCAAGGGTTGAGTCCTTCGATCATATATCACCGCCATTCTGTATGTGTGGGATCAAGAGTGCAAAAATACGGTTATTCTAAGACGTTGTTCGATTAGCGTCGCAGAGATCAACGCTGAGCGATTTCTCGATCACGTCAAAGTGTGTTTTGGTGGTGTAGTGCTGTTTTTTYGAAAATTCTAGTTCYCTCTCTCTATCACCGTACAATATCTCCCACTGATTTTCGTCCTACCCTTCCCGTGCCAACCGATTTCGGTGGTGTGGGTGTAGGCGAGATCCTTCAAGGGCTGAGTCCTTCGATCGTATGTGACCCGTTTGGTCGGGTTCCAATTGTCCAACGAGTCCTTGATCATGTCAAAGTGTGCTTTGGCGGTGTAGTGTTTCCTCTGAATTCTCTTGCTTCCTCCATTTGTCACTGCATGGTATCTTCCGCATATTTCCAACTTACCCTTCCTGTGTCAACTGGTTCCAGTGGTCTGGCTGTAGGCGGGTCCCTCGGGGGCTAAGCCCTTCGATTGTATGTGATCCGCTCGGTCGGGGGGGTCCTCCCAGTTGTTCCTAATTTTCCATTGGTTGGTTGTTGTCCCATTGGTTTGATCAAGGGTTCAAGCCAAGTTGTTCTCTTTCATCTGTTCCTCGGAAGTGGACGATTTTGATCCTGTTCGAAAAAATGTCTCAGTAACTATGAGGGGTGACCGGGGAGGGTTATGGGAGAACTATTCGATGCCCTGTCTGGGGTTTGGAGTTTTTGCCAAACAGGCCCGCTATGGGCCTTATATACCATGTCATCGATGCTCGAGATTTTTTGCGGCACACTGGGCTTTGTTTGATGGTCTATCTTTTGTTATTTAACTGGGTCCCTTTTGGCCACAGTTGATGCAATCGGGGAAGCTTTCGACATTTTTTGCATAGGGCTTATTTTTGCGGATACCTGGTACTAACAGAGTATTACCCTGGTACCTGGGTATGTTATTATTTAGGTCCTGTTACCTGACCGCTTTTACTGCATACTTCAGCGAATTTACTGCGGTTGTATGATCAGGGGTTCTGGTATCCAAAGCGGACTGGTTGTGACTTTAGTCCTTTTTCCCGCGTACATGCGTTTTCACTGTTTTGTGCCCACGATCGGTCTCCTGACACTACTTCGGCAGTGGACGGTTTTTGGTACACCTAAAGCTCTTGTTGGGCTCCTGCATGGGACCTCGCATCACGGATCCAGTATTTACATGGGCAGTTGCCCGAACTTTTCCTTTCATTCTAATTTAGAACGTGCGTCGACGGTTGTAGCGTGAGCGAAGGCGACACTCTTGGTGTCGGTGATAACCTTGTGTGCCCCTCCAGCGGTGTACTGTCGTACCCGCCTGTCTGACGCTTTTACGACATCCTGCGACGTGAATCTCTATTCCGACGACGACATTCAGTTTGGCGACTATGCTATGGCTGTGTTGTGATTGCTCTCTTGTCTTGTTTGTCTCTGTGGCAGGTGTCTGCCTTCACTATAATCAGGCAGTATAACGAGTGGTGGTCCTCTCCTTGTGACAGGTTTCATGACATTTAGGGCTGCTCCGCATGAACATGTTTTTTCTCGACGACTTCTCTCTTTGTGATTCGCTGTGCTTACTTTCGTTTCCAGTTGCGCTGCTGCGAGGGTGATGGGTAAATTGGGAATAGGCTAGCTATATATAAGGGCAAGGCATGGGTATGGCCCTTATCAGTAGTAGGACGACATCTTGTGATTTGTCCTCTTGAAGAGTCTATGTGCGGGATAGACGGAAATTCACGCAATGCGTCGAGGGTTGGTCGTGTGGTCTGTGGATCGTATTTTGTTGTATTCTGCTTCATGTTACTACTTTTGAGTGCGTATTTGAGTTGTTCATATTGATGTATCTTTGTCTTGCTCTTGTCTCATGCTGGATCTGTCTTGCCAGGCAGTTTTCCCTTTCCGATTACCGTGACAACCTCTAGTGAGATTACACACTAGGCTGGTGGCCACGTCTACGACTAGTTTTAGGTCTCTCGCATAGATCAGGGTTTCTCGAATTTMTGGGATTTGCGCATCAYGCGATTATCTTGGTTATTCGTTTATTCGGGTGATGTGTGCAACGATTGATGTGCGTGATGGAACGCGTCTTATTCCGTTGTATTTTTCTTATTTATGAGGTAGATGTGATGATTCGAATTATTGTCCTCTTCGATGATGTGTCGAACTCCGTTAGAGTGGTGTGTCGTTAGGATTAGGCTCACCTGAATTACTGCGGGTGTYCATTTTTTCGGTAGCTATCCTTCTATTCGATTTCTTCATCTTCTACCTTCGCTTGTTTTCTTTCATCATTTGTAGTGCGGATTGGGGCCGTAATCCCACGGGTGATCTKATTGATTGGCAGCWGCGATGTCATCATYCAATAGTAAGTGCTTCAATTGTGGTGGGGAAGGACACTTCGCGAGGGAGTGTCCTTTGGCCCGAAGTGCCCTATCGGGGCAAGGGACTAATTGGACTGGCGTCCGGCGGCGCCTCGTTTATTCTGGGCTCGAAGACGTCGGTGTGCTGATAATAACGAGGAGCATGAGTTTTTGAGACAACTGGTCACTTAAAAGAAGGAGGAACAGATGCGGAGAAGGGAATTGGAGGAAAGAAGGAGGTTTGATAAGATGGTCAAGCAAGAAATTGAAAGGAGTTCGGAAGTGTTGGAAGCTCGGGTTATGTCTAAGATTGGGTGTCAATATCTTGCAACTAGGGATGAGGCTCGAATTGAGGAGTCACGAGTCCCTCTGTTCCGTATGCCACGTAGTAGTTTGAAAGAAAGGGACATCTATGAGTATGCTGACAAAGGTCTTGAGGAAATCAAAGACGAAATCACCAAGTTGTACGAGATCCGCGAGAGAAAGCGCAAGGGTAAGGTGCAAATGGAGGGTGGTGGCAGGGGGCCCTTCAAGCAACCGGTTTTCTGACGAGGGGGTTCGGTCGTTGATTCCCCGTTGTTGGGTGAATCATCAAGAATGGGTGAAGCAAGGGGCCAAACAAAGATTGCGGCAGGTAGCGGCCCATAGGATTTTCCAGCGTACGTCCGGGCTCAAAAGCGGCTCCTCACTCCCAAGACGAAGGACGATCTTAAGGCTATATGCACGCAAAAAGGGCTCACTTATACAACCAAGGCACCCACAATCGAGACTATCATTGAGGCCAGGGCCAAGTTGGCATATGACGGTTTTATCTTCACACCGTCTCCTTCACTTGTTGAGAGTCCTGAAGACGAACGTACCCCTTCTGGGTGACTGGCAAGGCAGTCTCACTTTCGCTTGTGGTCTAACCTGTTGGAGTGTATGAGTAACAGGTGTGGGGACTGGGTTTGTCATCTCGTCTTCGCATGTTGTATGATTCATGTCTGACCCTTTGTTTTGTGGCTCTTGTGCTTTTCGGCGAGATCCTCTGGGTTACTAAGTTTAAATCTCTCATACTTTCTGTGGATTGGGATGCTTGGCAATCGGGCCCGCTCGTTTATCTCTTGACTTCTCACTGGTATAGGCCCTGTAGGGTGAAGTATATCGGTTGCTCCATTCGAGGGATCAACGTTAGATAGGGGGAACACGTGAGAACTGTCAAATCTTCAGGTCTTGGTGTGTCTCTGAAGCTCTATTGTTGATTACGCTCGTTTGGTGTATGGAAGTATGTGACTGTACCTTTGTTCAATGGGGTTGTCTCTGTTCTGGCGGTCGGGAAGATATTGATCAAAAACTTCTCTCCTGTGCTCAATTATACGAAGAAAAAGTTGTCTGGCAGGCAAAAGGTAGCAAGGCCAGCTAGGTTGAAGAGGTTGGGATCAGGACCTGTGGATGTGATGCATGGGATTGTCAAGTTTCTTAGGAAAGGAGAAGCTTGGTCAGACAGTATTTTGTTTATCCTTCGGGGGGCTTGCTTAGATAATGAAAATGGTTTTTCCATTGAGATTGTTTCGGGAAATCTCTAGGCCGACTCCTGGTCTGTTGTCAGAAGTTGTTTTGAACTTCGTAACCTTTTCTTCGCACGTTCCTGTCTCGCTCTTAAGGATCTTAAGGATGAGTTGCAGGCAGGGGGCATTTTCCATTTTTGTCATGTTGTTTTTA